TTAAAGAAAAAAAAAAAAAAAAAAAAGAAGAGAAAAAAGAAAAGAAAAGGTGTGTAGCTCAACAAAGAGTCAGTTTAACTAAGAAAGGTGTTTTCGACCTGAAAATGATTTTGGTGGTTGTTGACTCATGGACTCGCTCTTTTATGTGCATTTCCTAAACTAATATCAATTTCCTAAATACACTTTACTGCCTGGAGTTTGACATGAGCTCATATTTGCTCCAAGAACAAGCTTCTGTATGAGCAAAACAAAAAGAGTACATTACTACGCTTTTCACAAACACGCGAATTCTAAAGTTCAAAAGCCGCCTTCACAATTGTGTTTTTCGCTGCCGTCAATAATAATTATGATCAAAAGCAACGAACCTTGAAACAAAGAAACCAACAAAACGGATCGAAATCCACCAATCACAGATCACAAATCATGACCTTTTGAACCCGTTAAAGTAAATTTCTGTTTTCTGAGAGGTCCACCGAGATGACTGCGGCGGCGAAAAACGAAAACAGTTTGCTTTTGATGAGGAGTCTATTTTAACAGGAAGTCACAGGACCAGCCGCAACACGAGTTCTTTCTCGAGGCAAGAGAATGAACCCTAGGAGCGAGATTGTAGAATAATCAAATTTCTCAGACGTTTCCCGTTATGTGCAACAAGTATTCGCAAAAGAAACGCAGCAGGTATAAAATGAGAAATGGTTATGAAGCCTGTCAGATCTCTTTGTTATATATTTTTGTTTGCCTTTTCTCGCGGACATGACGGTGCACAACGTTTAATGACATTCCTATCATTTTGCTTGTTTTTGGTTGTTTGTTGTTGTTGTTTTTGTTTTTTTCACAAATAAAAACGTTGCATTAATTTGTTCAATCAATTTTTGAACAGAAAACAAAGGATTGCGCACTGTCAAGGAGCTTAATGCAGATAAACTGCGGCACCGTTGATTTGATCTCTTGCCGGCTTTCATGACCAGTTTCCTCTACTAAAGCTGCAAATATAATGGGACATGGATGGTATATGCCCCATTTGCATCCTAATGTAAATGTATCACATATTCTTTCCAGAATGTATACTGTTACAAAGTGTTAGCACTTTTTACTTTAATAGTGGATCTTTTATCGTTTATGTCCAGTAGTTTAAGCTGTTTTCGTTTTTAATTTATCCTTTTTCATATGTTAGCTGTGTTGTCACGTTTCCTTAGTTATCTACCAAGCAACCGTCAAACGTAACGACAATAACACTTCTGAAACATACATCGGACTCACAGAAAACCCCTTCAATCCTAGGTACAGAAACCACACTGCATCATTCCGTCACACAAAACACAGGAACTCTACGGAACTAAGTAAACATGTCTGGTCCCTGAAAGACAACAACATTGACTACTCTATTTCATGGCGTATCATTTCATCTAGCTCATCCTATAACAGTTCAAGTAAAAGGTGTAACCTTTGCCTCAAAGAGAATTTTTTAATTATCTGTCGTCCCAATCTATCATCACTTAACAAACGTAACGAACTTGTATCTTCTTGCCGCCACAGAAACAAAGCGTTGCTATGTAACAATTAAACATTTAAATTTAAATTTTCCCCAACAATGTAATCTCAAAGTATATAGTCGATGGTTATGAATATTCTTATCATTAAAATCCCCTGAAGAGTGAGAAATCACGAAACAGGCTTGTCGGGATGAAAGTGTAGTTTTTTTCCTACTTCCAATATTTATATCACGCTCTACTTTAACGTATCGAGCACTCTACTATGGAAAAATCGAAACACAGACTTCCTATATATATATATATATATATATATATATATATATATATATATATATATATTAATCACAAATGAAGACAGAAAACAGTTTCACGCCAGGATTTTTTTCACCGTTTCCGGCTAGAAAAAATGTCCACATTTTTTTGGCCGCCATATTGGCCGAGCAACCGTTTGATAGGGGGACTGGGGTAAAGCTTAATGAATGGCTTCC